AGCCTAGAAAAAGTGATGTTCCTAAGATGGAGTGACCAACTGTTCCAATCTGCCCTAGACTGAGGGGTTTCCTGGTATGTGGACTTTTAGAGACAGAGACACACGGGGACAGCTGGTCAGCTTCCAAGTGAAGAAAGTGCTTCAAGGAAGAGGAAGTGATTAACTGTGTCCAAAATGCTATACATAAAGCAAGACTGAGCAACAGCCATTGAATTTGGCAATGTGGAGGTCTTGGGTGATTTTGACAAGACTTCTATTGTGAACAGCCACGTAGATTTGAGAACCACCCCCCCTCCATAGGGGTAACAGTGTACAAGGGTACAAGACCAGTGCAGGTCCTTTGTAATTACCTGTGTGATTTGGGTCAAGTCATTTAACCTTTCTGTTTTTCAATATCCTTATTTGCCAAATGTTGTCCAGATTTGTTGTTTTAATCTGCCACCAGCATGCTACCTGCACACTACACTGTGCTAGAGCCACAGAGATTAATTTTAAACAGATATGGTTCTGATACTGTAGGAATTTTCTATTTCAGAACAAATCTAATCCTACTCTATGTCAGAACTAGCCTTTGATGTGCATTAGGAGTCAAGGAAAAGCTCAAACTCCATTAATTAAAAAATGAATATTTGACTGTGAATAAGCTTTTAGGGTATGTATAATTTTGTTGTGTATTTCTCATCTTCTATTGACCATGCCTCTGAAAAAAATAGGTAGAAAGAAAGACAGCACAAATCTTCACTAGAGAAGGGTTGAAAAATTGGTTGAGGGCTGCAACTGTGTCTCCTCAGCCTAGTGCTGGACTGATGTAGGACCCCAGTGAGTATTTGTTGGATGAATGAAAGTAGGTGTATTCGTGTGGGTTCAACCAGAGCAGCAGAGCCAGTAAGGAATACTTATGCATGCATATTAAGGAATCGATTACAGGGAATTGGCTGACCCCCTGGTGGTGGCTGGCTAAGCAAGCCTGAAGTCCACAGGGCAATCAGGAAGGCACGATCACAAGCAAGCTGGAACCCCAGGGGCATGAGCTGGAGCTTAGAGTCTCTGAACTTGGAGAAAGCCTCCACTTCTTCAATAAGGCATCCAACTGATGAAGTCAGGCCACCCAGGATAATTTCTGTTTTGATTAACTTAAAGTCAACTGATTAGGGACTTTAATTACATTGATAATATCCCTTCACAGCAACACCTAAATTAGTGTTTGATTGTATCAATAGAAGGTGTGTGTGTACTATAAAATAACTGCAGCCTCCCTTCCATCCTCCAACTCTGGCAAGAGAAAACTCTTGTAGCCCACCTTGTCTGGAAGCATGCTAGGAAGGGAATTCAGGAGTGTGGTTCAGCCCAGCTAAATTGACACACCACAAAACCATCACCATAGATAAAGCCTGGTTTAGGATAATTTGCAGTCTTAACTTTTGGGGTTTTTTAAAAGGAGTTTTTAAATTTTTTGATTATTTGGGGTTTTTCTTACATTATTTTTAACAAATGATAAACGCAATGTGATGATACATGGTATAAAGTGAACTTCTTAAAATTACTTTGGATCATACCATTTAAAGTAGTCTTCAGTCTCCACTGACTAGGAGACCACATGTAGCTCAGCAGCAGAGAAAATAAAGTAGTTAATTTTTATGTTTGGCTTCTAAGTGCCCAGGGGCCCAAGTCCTGCATTAGGGACTGACTTTACAACATGCCCCCACCCCATTCCCAAACTTCATTCCCCCACGAAATGCAGTGCCACTGTCACTCTCTTCAGTGTTTGTTTTCTCCCTTTGCTTGTCGCTCAGTGGGCACAGTGTGTGTTTGTGTGTGTTGATTCCCTCGTAATAAAACCTGCTCTTGAGATTAAGACTTCAGATAGTTTAGAGAACAGAAATCTTTTTTGGTTCCTGGTTGTTATTTGAATTTGCAAAAGGAACAACTTGCTTGGAGGCCAGGTTAACAGTAGTTGGAGTCTCCACCCACTTGCCAACGGCAAAGCAAGACTAGTTTACATCATATTTGGAATGAACAGTTTCCTCCCTTCTTGGTCTCAGTATAGAAAGTGTAGAAGAGACTAATTATTACAAGCCAGCTTGTGTGTAGCGCTAGAACCATACCCGCTATTATTACAGTTTGCGTTTGTAATCCATTCAGTCCTGAAATAGATTCAGACCTCAAGCATTTACGACTTTGTGATCAATTGTGTATATTGCACCAGGCATATTGCTGCACAATTAGTACACAGTGATGATACTGTGTTCTTTATCATAGCTCCACCTCCAAAGGTAGCATTGAATGTGGCAAATTCACCATCTCATGGTTGACTAGAGATCCATGGAAAGATGCATGGGAGTAGCTACGTGTACTCTTCTGTCTCCTTAGGGCCCAACTCAGTGACTTGCATTCAGCAGATGCTCAGCAAATGATTGCTGAATGAGGGAGTTGGCCATCCTTTTCTCCCTTGGTTCTTGGACAGGCTGGCCTGTAGGTAACAGGTGCTGCTATCAGCCAGGATTTTCATCATTTGTGGCTTTGAATTTCAGGGACATGACAAGTGTAATACTTTGGCTGCATCTGAGTCTTTTTCTCTCTGATGATTTCACACAAATGCCGTTTCTCTGTGGAAGCTTCTGCTTCCTAGTTAGTAGTACTAATGTGCTTCACATTGCTTCCAATGGTGCTTCAGTATAATCTTTAAGTGTATATTTCCAGTGCCTCTGCTTGAGGAATTGATATTCTTCATGATAAATTTACATTTATTATTCCATTAATTAATTATTACTATTATTACTTTGAGCAGCCAATCTCATGAGCTCAGAGTGGAACTTGTGGGTAGTGGTAACTGTAGTTTTTGACTCCCTTCCAAACACACTTGCTATTGCCTTGGGTTTTAATTATTTCTGGAAATACAGATTCCCTGAAAAGCCCACAAGAGAAAAGAAAATAATAGTGGTTAAGAACGTGAGCCAGCCTAGGTTTGAATTCCAGATGGGCTACTTCCAAGCTGCGTAACCATGGGCAAATTATGAAATCTCTAGCTATCAATGTCCTCATCTGTAAAATGGGGATAATGAGTGTATACCTTGCAGAGTTCCAGTGAAGAATAAGTGGGATAATGTGTATAATGACCTAGCCAATTTCTTGATACATGGTAAATGCTCAATAATTATTAGTTCAATGGGTATAAACTTTACATAATAAGCTTGGGCATGCAAAAAATGCAGTTTTCTTCATTTCAGATTGAAGTCATTTGAGTCCCTGACTCTGAACTCGGTGCTGGCTGGGGATAGGGAGTGGGAGAATCCACTTTCTCCTTTGCGGTTGGTCTTATGTAGGTGTCTGCTACTTAGTAGACTTATCTGTTCTGTGCATAGACGATGCCTATCATCCCCTCTGGTAGAGGTCCACAGTGTCCTTTGCAAACTCTGTCCCCACCTGGCTCCTGCAGAGGCTGATCTCAGCTCCCTGGTCTTATTGCTTCATTTTGAAAGGCACCCCGTAAGGACTATGGTCCTCTCCTTAGCTGACCTCCAGGTCCCCAGTCAGAACCAAGGGAAACTTCCTTGCCTATGTCACATCACGTGGGAGGTGTGGGGACCTAGAGGAGTGTCTTTGCTCTCTCCTGCTGAAGGGTGTCCTGTTGCCTTCTCTTTTGCCCCTTTTGGCCCTGCTGGTGCAGGCACTATGTAAATCCGCCACTTTCAATAATCTCAGACCAGAAGGATGGCGTGTATTTGCTCAATTCTTGGCTTTGTCCTCTCTCTCCAACATGTCACTCATATCTCTTCTACCACAAGAGACAACAGGGGTAGGGAGGAGATGGGGCAAGCCACATCTCCATTCTCTAATCTTGTTTCCTTTTGCCTCTTCAACAACACTTTGTTCCTCCTCTCCAACCTTACATCTAGTCTGGTGTCCAGTTTCAGGGTGATGAAAAGCTGCTTTTTTAGCACTTCCTGTGGATCTGTCCTTGTTTCATACCAAGGCAGTGCAAGTCAAGAATCTGGGGTGTTTGTTCTGTTGGTCCATTGGGGGTCAGAGGTAGAGAACAATACCTGTTTGGGCCGATGACCCCAAAGAGTCTGTCATAAATGAACACCATGGAGCTGCTGCTGTGGTTATGATGATGATGATGATACAGCTCAGCTTGATCTAGGTGATTCTTTTACTCTCTTAAGGCAGTGGCTCCTAAGTCTTTATATTTCACAGGCAATTCACAATATTTGTTGAATTTCCAATTTTTATTTTATTGACTAAAGAAAACTATTTTTTGAATTATCATCTACTTCTATCATTTCTTTTATCTCCTCCCTCACCCACTGTGGAAGGATATAATTAAAGAGCAAAAAAAAATCCTCTTAAAGCGAGTACATTTAAGCCACATGAAACCTCAGCCGGTTGCCCTTAGTTTTCTCATATAACTGCAGTCAAGTGAAAATGTCTTCCCGACCAGCACCAGTCAGGTTTCAGCCACCAAGTCTGGTTCACTGTGGGCTGTGACTACAAAGGAAGTGCTTTCAAGAATTGACCTATAGGATAACTCAGGCCAGAGGAAACCCTGTGCCTAAATACTCAGACAGAAGGAATGTTGAATTTGCCCGAATTTCTAGAAGATTGCCTCAAACTCACTACTTCAGTGTGTTTGGGTAAACATGGCCTCAGAGAGCTTTTGCAGGAGAAATTATAAAAATTCAGCAGAGCTCTGTGATCTCATTTTGGATCTCCTCAGGATTCCTCATCAAGATACAATTAAGCAGAGAAAAACTCTGCCTTGGGGTGTGATTTTAATTACTCCTCATGTTCTGACTTGACTTTCCGTGCTGCATTTCTTTTCCTTTCCATGTCACTGCTTCTGTGTTTGACAGCTCCTCTAAAGACAGCTCTGCTTAGTTGTACATAAGAGTGAGACACTCACTGTGTGGAGAGGGGGCGAGGCAAACGCCTGCTATCGCCTTCGTGCTTGTCCTGAAAACCCTGTGGGAATCTCCTTCTTCTTTTCCCTCCCCTTCCAGCCTCAGTTTTATGACCCGGTGGAGCCGGTGGACTTTGAAGGACTTCTGATGACACACTTGAACAGCCTGGATGTGGAGCTTGCCCAGGAGCTGGGAGACTTCACTGAAGACGACCTGGACGTGGTGTTCACCCCAAAGGAATGTCGCACTTTGCAGCCCTCTTTGCCGGAGGAAGGGTAAATCGTTTTCTTAAAATGTAGATGGGATTGTGGCTGTTATGACTGTTATCAGTCGGGGGGAGATGCCCTAATACTGTGAGTTGTTTTAAAAATAAATAAAGTTACTCAGATCCATTAAGATATGCAAGATGACTGTATGGTACTATCACCTACACATAGATAACTTTTTAATTGGTTTGACCAGAGTGTGGGGACTAACCCAGCTAAAGGGATGCAGTGAGACAAAGTGGAATGCTCAAGAAGAGGTGAAGAGTTCAGGCTCTGGAGCCAGACTGCCTGGGTGTCAGCTCAGTGACCTTGGGCAAGTCATGTGACCTCACAAAACCTCATTTTTCCATTTGTAAAAATGTCAAGATTTTTCATGATCATCGCAGAAATGCCTCCATTCAGAAGCATTTTAACTGTCTCCATGTAAGAGACTGGATCAAATCACAAACATAAGTTCAACCCACATTTATTGAGTATCTACTATGTGCTGGGTACTGGGATAAAAAGATGAATAAGGCCAAGTCCCTTCCTTTGAAGGAAGTTTTGCCAGGTGGAAGAACAATGGGGAGAGCTCTGTAGAGCAAATATATGAATAGCTGCTTGGGGCTTGAGTTTCTACAGTGGGTGAGTCTGTATGTTTATAGATGCGGGCATTAGCTTATGGTGTCAAACAATGGAATTAGATCTAAATGACACTGTTGTTACTTCCATAGTATAAAAAGCAACATCTCTTTGGAGATTTGGAATGCGCTTTTATTTGCACTCATTTTCAAAACAAAATTAAGATTCACATCCTCCTGGACGTTTTCAACCTTCTCATCTTCCCCAAAAAGTCCCAGAAAGGAGATCATGAAACACAGTCCCTGCGCTCATTACTCTGGGATATTCCAGTTCTGTTTTGGATTTTATTTCATTGCACTTTAAGGTTGGATGACGTGATATGGTATTATTATGACTCTTTGCTCTCTTGTTTAGGTAGTTCTCATTCACACAGGAGAGCTGACCATATGCTCAGCTCTAACATTTCAAAAATACTCACTTCCTAGAAAAAAAAAACCATTGAGACCCTGGGAAAACATTTTCTGTTGTTGGCAGACCATTTATTCAGGTGTGACCTTTAACAAGGTAACATCTATTATTTTTCACCTTTGATAGACAATCATTTAATTTGATTTCTTTTTGTAAAATTTTTGGGTAATTGTCTTCAAGTGAAGTCAGAATCCTGGAAAAACTTGTTTAAAATTCAATAAATGTAGAGGTTGAGAGATTTTTATTTTTTGAAATTTGATAGAAGAGGTCATTTTTTTCATGGTGTCAGTTTTTGAGTATAATATTGCCTTGTCACCAGAGGTTATAACTAACACACTTTCTGTCTGATGACTTTAAAACAATCTCTCCTATTTCAATCGCTGCCAAAAAGTCTCCTGTGGAATTAAAGCCCAGGAAGGTATCCTCCTCCTCATCAGAGTAAACAACAACCAACTCCTGTGGAACCCGAGTGCCTAGCCCAGCACTTGGTGCTGAGCTGTGATGGTGTGGTGGTCCTAAGCCTGCACTCATACGTGAACTGCCTGGGTTTGAGTCCCTGCTCTCCCACTTGCTGGGTGACTTTGAGCAAGATCTTTAGCATCTCTTTCCTCTGCAAAATGAGAATAATAATAGTGCCTGCTCTATGGAGCCGAGTGAAATTAACTGAATTAAGCCATGTAAAGTAATTACATCAGTGCCTGGTGCATAATAAATGGTGCCTAAGTGTGAACTATCATTATGTTGGACTTCTTATGTGCCAGGCTCTCTTCTAAGCACTTCACACACTAACTTATTAATCTTCATCACAACTCTCCGAAGGAGGCACTCCACTGTTGCTATCACCACTTTAAGGTGAGGAAATGGGCACAGAAGGGTTGAGTGACTGGTCCAAGGTCACGTAGCTCAAAAGGAATGGGGCTGGGATTTGGGCAGCCAGGGTCCAGGGACCACATGTCTCACTTTTATAATATTTCATCTAATACTAACAGCCAGCCCACAAGGTGGGTCCTGTTCTTATCCCCTTTTCACAAACAAGAAAATTAAAACTTATAGCTTCTGGACCTGTTTATCTCTAGTCGCAACACATTTGGAAAACAGCAAGGAACTTTGCTACTGTGGGGAATTCATTATTTCTGATTTCAAGACTCCGAAGCACTTGGAGACTATCTCTCATGAGCTGCTCCTGGGCAGGTAGACAAGAACCAGTGAATTAACAATCACTGGCCAGGGCCAGTGCTTGTCAGCTCTCACAGCCTAAGACAACTGTTTTCCATAGCTTTCAAAAAGGAAAACATGCGTGTCCTAACAAGGTTACACATGAGCAAAACGTGTGCCCAAATTACCCCTGTGAGGAATTGGTATTTGTGCTTATTTTTCTTGTTTTGTATGTGATTACAGCTAGTTCTACCTATCTTATGTCAGAATGCCTTCAGGAATAGGTATAGTTTAATATAATTCTCTATCATAAAGAAAACCCACAAAGCATAAAATGCCACTGTGTTTGTCTCATCAAAGTAGAAATGCTACTGCCTCCGGAATACCTCAGACGCTTGAAAGAGTGGGTCAGCATGCTGTAGCGTTCTCATTCGACGTGGATTTGAAATCATGCTGTTCTCCTGGGTGGAGAATAAGGGATTGTTCTGTTGTTTTCACCCAGTAATGACATGTTTTTATTTCATTTTCCACCTCATTAGAGTTGAACTGGATCCACACGTCAGGGACTGTGTTCAGACCTACATTCGGGAGTGGCTAATTGTGAACCAGAAGTAAGTTCATTTTTTTTTCTCTTACATATATATTTATTTTATACATTTTTTTAATTAATAAAATTTTTTTAGAACGGTTTTAGGTTTACAGAAAAATTGAGTAGAAAGTACTGAGAGTTCCCATATTCCAACCATCCACCCCCAAAGGTTTCCCCTATTATTAACATCTTAGGTGGATTTTTTTTGCACATGTCCCCAGATAATTGTGAATATTGATTTTAGGGTTACAAATAAATTTTAGCGAGTAGACGAATTTGCAAATACAAAATCTGTGAATAATGAAGATTGACTGTATCTTGTCTTATCCCCTGCTTAAAAACTTTCTGAGACTCTCTACTGCTGCTATATCAGATATAAACTCCACTTGCATGCCTTTTAAGGGCTTTAATAATCTGGCCCCACTCAGTCTACTAACACTTATTTCCCTTAACTCCTGGAGTCATTTTCTTTCTCTGGGCCTGCCTCTTCTCCCTCACTATTACTCCACATAGCCATCTCAGTCCTACCTCTACACCTTTGATCTTGCTGTTTCCCGCCTGGGCATGCCCTCCCTTCAACTACCTACCAAACCCGACCTATGTCTTAAAGGGCAGATCAAATTTCTTTTTTCTTTATGGAGCTGTCTCTGACTGATTTATCCTTTCTTGGTTGGATCTTACTTTAGTGTTCTTCATTTGTTACAATTGATGAGCCAGTATTGATGTATTATTAACTAAAGTCCAAAGTTTACAATAGGGCTTATTTTTTGTGTTGTACTTTCTATGAGTTTTGACAAACGTATAATGACATGTATCTGCCGTTATAGTATCATGCAGAATAGTTTCTCTGCCCTAAAATTCCCCATACTCTACCTAGTCATCCCTCCCTGGCAGTCACTTATCGTTTTACCATCTCCATGGTTTTGCCTTCTTTCTCCATGTCTTTTTGTGGCTTGGTAGCTCACTTCTTTTTTTGCTGCATAATATTCCACTCTATGGATTTACCACAGTTTGTTTATCCATTCCCCTATTGAAGGAGAAAGTTACATTTCAAACGTAAAGAATAGAACTGTTTTGTTTTGTTTCCATTCTTCTGAATTCTTAGGGGAAAAAAATAAATAAATTGAAACTTGGCCTCACATTCAAAGGTAACATTTTAATTTGTGACCAAGAAATAAATTACTTGCTAGCCTTCTAGTCAAAAAGGCCCTTCTCTCCTGGGTTAATTAAACATTCCATGACATTGTCCTGAGCTTTTCATCCCAGTGCCACTGACCTGGACAGCACTCTCTCGTGAGAAACATCTACACACAGTAAATTCTCAACCTGTATGTGTGTATCTGTTGGGCATCTGGATGGGGGTGTCCACAGATTGGGGGCATATCCCACTAGAAAAGTATCAGAGAACCTTTGACAAGACATAGTAGTTTGAAATTCTGATATCCTCACCTCTTCTATAGTCCAGTAAGAATTACTGTTCATACTCATCCCATAGGATAAATGATGAAAGACTTTGGGGATTGGGTTTTATCCAGCTCCTGCAAATGTGCTATTGAATTTGTGCTGATGTTTTGTGGAGTAATGTCAGGATGCATACTATTTTCAATAGCTGAGAAAGAGAAAGTATTGCTTATAAAAAGTAATTAAGAGAAAGTTAGAGGTTAATCCATCATCTGTCCTAATTTCTAATGCGAATGGAAAACTAAGTTTGCCAGGCAGTCAAATAAGGTTATGCTTTGCTGGTAATAAATAAAAGATTTCAGAACAAGTTGTCCTCAAGCTTTTAAATGTTATAATTAGAGATACTTTCTGGATATTAAAGTTCTAAAAAAGTCTGAGAAGGAACAATAAATAGAAAGGTCCATTTTACTACATTTAGTTATTTTCTCTTTGGGACACTGCACTTTTTCATTTCTCATGGCAATTCCCATCGGGATATTCTTTTTTTCTCTCTCTCTCGTACAAACTCAAAAGAAAAAAGGACTCTTTTTTAGGATACTCATTGTAGAAATTTTAGAAATTATAGGGAAACAAAATGAGAAAGCAAAAATCACTCAATTTCACTACAGACAGATAACCACCATTAACATTTGATGTGTGGCCTTTGAATCCTGTTTCTTTGTATATAATATTTGTATAAAAACTAAATCAGATTATAATACTATTTTGTAGCATGGTTTTTCAGTCTTCAAAGTAAGTGGTGAATATTTCTCCTTGCTATTAAATATCTTTCCTCAACACAATTTTTAATTGTTGCATAATATATTTACACTAAAATTCCTATAACCAGTTTTAATGTTTAGGTGATTTCCTGTTTTTCAGTGTTATACCCAAATACAGCAACATTCTTGTGCACCTCTATGACTCGTTTCCTTTGGAATAAATTCCTTTAAGAGAAAATTCTGCATCTAAGGGTACGCACAAATTTAAGGGTTTGGGAATAATATATCAGAAAGATTGTCAACAATGTATGCATGAATCCTCAGGAATATTGATATTATCATTTAATAAATTTCAAATTTTATTTGTAAAAAGGCTGTCTTTTATTTACATTTTCTTTGATAATTAGATCAGGAATCTTTTTCCCGTATATTTGTTGGCCGTTTGTAATTTTTCTTTGGTGTTCTGCTTATTCATGAAATTTGTGCATCTCTGTTAATGTGTTTGTCTGGTGGTGTTTATCTTTAGGATTGTTTTTATTTGTTAAGGATATTACCCTTTGTCTATCATATATTATAAATTCCTTACCCAGTATGCTATTTGTCTGTTAATATTGTTTATAATTTTTTAACATTCAAAATTACTTATGTAATAAAATCTATATTGACAATTTCCCTTATAATTTCTATTTTTGCTATCAGGCTTAAAACTTAATGCACAAACCTAATACTATTTACTAGGAATTTTGGATTAAAATGTGAATCCAGACCGTTAGCCACTTGGTGGTTGTTCTGTTCCCTTCTGTGTCTTCATTTGTGTTTATCTCTTCTGTAGGAACAATAATTATCCATATATTTATTCTATGCTAGTTTTTGTGTCTTTGTTTTCATAAAAAACAAAGCAATATCTGTTTTTACTGTATGTTTGGCAACATACTGGAGATGGGGATTGCTATTGGCCCCATTCTCTGCACTCTTGTGTAACGGACCAGTTCCCTTTGAGAAGTTAGCTAATGGACACATAGAAGTGTGCAACTTCGAAACTCACTGCCAGTTTCTGGCAAGCTTTGACTAGTGTTTTACTGAGAAAGCACCTTTTTCTACCCCACAGTTTGATTCTTTGGTACTGTGAATCTGATACTCAGAACATGAAAGCTTCAATTCCTAGCACACACTCCTCCCAGAGATCATTCTGCCCTTATATGCATTTATAATATTTACTTGTGGGTGGAATCCAATACACTATTGCCAGATGCCCTTCACCTCTCAAACCTACAAGATTTTCGGCTCAGTTGATTTCTACGAGTTGTTTCTATATGGTTGCAAAATTATGGTAGAGAGAGGACAGAAAGGAAGGTGGTGGTTCTGGTGGTGGTGCATATGAGCGAAACCAAGTGGAGCCTGTGAGTGGCTTCATAGAAAAGCCACTACCATGAAGAAGGAGCATTCAGACTTCTGGCCAGTATAGACACTGACTGTTCAGGGCCTGGCAGGAAGGAAAGTACAAAGTGCCTTCCTTTGGGTTTCCCTTTGGGGAGACAAGCGAGGTACATCCTTCTCTTTCCAGCTCCATCTGGTCCACAGAGATTCTGTCAAGGCTCAGGCATTAAGTTATCTGTTAGTCTGGGTGAGTTTCCATTTTTCTCTGTGACTTCATAGGCGGTTTACTGAGAGGTTGGAAGAGGATACAATGAGGGTTGCTGGCCAGTTGTTAATTAGTGATTAATTAGCTCTCCTTTGAATTTATTATTTTATATGTCAAATAATGCATGCTTGTTTTGAAAGAAATCAAGTAATATAGAAGTGTATTAAGTAAAAAGCAAGTCTCTTGCCTCACTACTCACTTGCTACCCGCCCTTCTCTTCAACCCACTCTTCACTGCATAGAAGTTGCTGTGTAGGCTTCCAGATCTTCTTTTCATGCCCTCACAAATATATATATGGATATTTATATTTTATATAAATATGTATGTATGCAAATACACATTTGTAAATATGTATATCTGTATTACATGTATATACATAATATAATTTTTTTCAATAATATCCTTGACATCGTTCCATATCAGAGATCTATCCCTTCCTTTTAAAATGCTACCCGGTGTTCCAGGGATGACGGAATGTATCATAAGTTATTGACTCTTTCTCTATTGATGGACATGGCAGTTGTCTCCATTTTTTACAATTGTAAATAATGCCACAATGAACATCTATGTATATTTGCCCCTACACACCTGTGAATATTTCTAAGGTAGAAATGGAACCAGTGTAAATGATACATTCTGATAAATACTGCCAAATTCTCCAGAAAAAGTTGTGCTAACTCTCCCCATTACCAACGGGGCATGAAACTGCCTTTTCCCTTCATATCTTTGCCACCTGGATATTATTAATTAAAATAAAATTTAAATTCCTCCAATCTTATTCTAATGATCATTTTAAACTAGAAGCTATTATATCTACTTTCTGAATACTGTTTCCTGTCCCTGAGTTTTCTTCCTTTATCTATTCCAAAATCCCAGTTAAATATACACTTACCATACAACCTGAAGTCCCACTCCCAGACATTCACCTGAGTGAAATGAAAGTCTACGTTCATATAAAAATCTATATGCAAATATTTACAGAAGTTTTATTTGTAATTGCCAAAAACTAGAAACAACCCAAATTGTACTCAGTTGGGTAATGGCTTGGGTAGTGAATAAACAGACTGGTATATCCATACAATGGAATACTACTCAGCAATAACGTGGAACAAATTACTGATACATGCAACAACATGGATGAATCTCAGAAGCTTTATGCTAAGTGAAAGAAAGACAAAAAAGATAACTGCGTAATTCCAGTTATATGACATTCTGGAA